AAGGGCAGATGGAACCTATCCTGGTACTATGGTCACTCTCTGTGGCAGTGCCCTGCCCTCTGTGAGGCCCACATGTATGTGACTCAGGGCAACCATTTCCCCAACAGCAAAGAAAAACCCAGACTGCAAAGCTGCACACCTACACCACATTGCTCTTCAAGGAGAATTCAGCATTTGCTTTGCACACCAGTGGCTGCTCATACTTGGCAGCATCAACATACGGTCCTGTTTACTAGGCAGGAAACAGGCAGGGTGGAGGCATGGGCCAGCCCATGTTTTCATCAACAAGGTATCTAGACTCTTCTCTACTGCCTAATACTTGCCTTCCTGCCCCCTCAGTTGCCCTTAAGTTATAAGCAGGGACTTGAAGAGTTACAGGAGATCCTCAGTCTTTCATTCCCTAGAAGAATAAAATAGAATCAGAGCAGAACACAATAGATTAGATCAGTTGCAAGGGACCTACAATGACCACCTAGTCCACCTGCCTGACCAGTTCAAGGCTGACCAAAAGTTAAAGCCTGCTGTTAAGAGCACTGTCCAAATGCCTCTTAAACACTGACAGGCTTGGGGCATCAACCATCATCTCTCTAGGAAGCCTGGTCCAGGGTTTGGCCACCCTCTCGGGACAGAAATGTTTCCTCGTGTCCAGTCTAAATATGTCAAGTCTTGTAGTCCTTTTACAGAAAAGTAGTTGTACTTTGGCTCAGCAGTGAAACTGGGAGTGTTGGCAAGTCCCAAACTACATATGGTCATGTTTTGTAGAGTTTTACTGAAAAGGCATGGAGATTCTACTAGTACTCCAGACATCACTACATAAACAAATAATCAGCCTCTCAGAAGATGAAAATGCATTGGAAAAACATTCAGGAAGACAATTTTTGAACAGTGCTATCCTATACTAGTGTCCCAGATCCTTGACTTTTACTTCAAGATGTTTGTCTTTTTATTGCATCTTTAAACTCTTCCGCTAACTCCTTACATTTATTGCTAGCATTCATGACTCAAGTATTTTGATGCAAGGACTTGTTTTTAATATGTCATCATTGTTTGAAATGCAGTTTTTATCTTAAAGAAGCTTCAGCTTTTGTTTTCATGTCTTATTGTAACAAAAATAAACACATGCAAATTCACCAGAATTTGTTTTATAATTAAGATTTTGAAATGTAATTTCAGAATCACACAACTATTTCATGCTTGCATAAATTACATGCTTACACACCAATTACAGTTCAAAATGTTAAATCTCACCGACCCTGTAACTGTGCATTACTGACATGTTATTAAATAATGCAAGAAGTGTTTTTATAAAAGAATGTGTGCAAAAGGAACCAGTTTGGGGAGAGACAGCTTTGCAATAAAACCTGCAGTGAATCAGTACTTCACAATGCAAAAAACCCCCAGGGGTTTATCAAAGTAATGCAGCTGCTTAAGTTTATAGCTGTCTTTGGAGTAAATAGGTCTCAGTCTGTCCTGCACATCCCTGTTGCCTTGAGAAGCTCAGGTAATTCCCAGATGCAGCTCAGTGTACAGAGCCCAGAATGAATTGACACCAGCCAGTTCCTCTGCCACCTATAGAATGTACCTGCTCAATTTTACCATCTGATCATAATTCTTAGGAAAACTCTGAAATGGACAACAGATACAGAAAGTGTATCCATGTGCCCTTGGTGTGAAGTCTATGAGCTGCCCCCATACCTGCTATGGCACTGCCACTGCATGCAGCTGACAGTCAGCACCACATTGCTGGAAATCTGTCTCAGCTCATTTTTCCTAGCTTCTAGACCAAAGCAAGCCTTTCCCATCAGAGGGCCAAATCCTGCCAATGAGTAACTCAATCATTAAGACTGTATCACTGCTGAAGTTCCCTGTAGAGGTCACACTGCTCTGGACTCCTGATTGGAAAAACATGTGTGCACAGCAAGTGCTGACAGGATCAGGTCCACACATCCTGGGTTTGGCTGAAAGAAGTGCAAGCAGGATTTTAGGGTGCCTTCAAAAGCAGATGAGAAAACCTTTTCAGTCCACATAGCATGGCCTCATTCCTCCATGGAATGTCATGTCTCCTGTGCTGTGTACGAAGTACCTTTGTATTATGTCCCAAGTCTTTAAAAGCACCAACAGAACAAATGTCACCTCAGAGATCTATATTTTTCCTCCTATTACTTAACATCATCACCAGAAATTGATTAAAAGCCTTTTACACTGCAGTAAGATTTACTGCTTACTGGTATTACTATCTGTGACCATTCCCACATGTTCCTTCATTGGGATGCTCCCCCAACATTAACCTTTACTGCTGCCCCCAAGAAAGTAATTTGTCAGCAAAATGCAAGCAAACAACTGATCTAAGTAGCAGTTACTTTAACCAGCTTCTTCCAGCCTGAAATATTAAAATGAACCCTGCATCTAGAGGAGAATGACAGAGATGCTGCTAAGAAGCTCTGCATCTTTTCTGCTCTTGTCATATTTGTATTATTAAAAAATCTTCCTACACATTAAGTTTGGCATTGGTTTGTATTAAGGATCTTCTCCTTATTATCTTACATCTCTTTTAATCAGGTAACAGAGAAGACCTCCTCTAGAGTGAACTCACAGGCAGGTTAGGTGAAGGAGACATCTGAGAACTGCTGGCTCTAAAAGCACCAACCTTCACTCCTGCTCCAAAGTAACAAGCTCACCAAACCATCTGAAAGCAGATAAAGACTTAATAATCTAACTGGGGCCAGTCTTCAAGGAGAAGAAGGAATCCTATGCAGGGCTACCAGCTCTAGTGAAAAAATAATACTCCTCCATGCCCATTAACCCCAAATTTCACTGCAGCTTTCTAAGAACTGGAGATGATTTGGTGCCAAATAGCATTTCCTACTGCATCCTTTAACACAGTATCTTCTCATGCTGAACATCAAACCAGCCTGGTCCCACAGCACTGCTATGACATTATCTTCAGCCTGCACCGAAGAAATATCTGCACTGGAAAACTCAAGCTCTCCATGCCCACGCTTGCTCTTAGATGAAAATTAGCTCAGTTATAGTCCAAGGGAACCCTTTTATGGCCAGCATATGCTTTGGCAGCCTGCCAGCAGTGCTCTCCTAAAGCCATCCAGCAAAGTGACACCATCAGTTATAAAATCTATGTCTGTCGGGTCACTAGGTTATGAAACAGAAGTGTTGTAAGCATGTAGGGACATGGTTTGGGCTCTGCTGTGAACGAAGATAAAATTATTTTTGTGGATTGAGATTACCAACTTGGGATGCATTCCAGTGGGAAAGGGTCACTGCATTATAATAGTATTTTGACTGAGAAATATGAGTTCCAGTAATCAGAATTGTTAAAAATCCCAAAATAGGTAAAGATGCTAATCAGTGGGGTGCTACTATTACACTGCAGCTCCATGACAGTGAGGTACTGTGTGCTTTGCTGGAAAAATCCAGCTGAGACTGCACTGTGCTGG